AGAGAGAGAGACAGAGAGAGACAGGCAGACAGACAGACACACCATTGGAACAAAAGTTTCCTCCAATTTCTTCTCCCTGAGTGCACACCTCCAAAGAGACCCCCTTTCTATAGTGGACTTACTTCCCACACCATGATGATCTCACTTCTGAACAAACATACTTCTACTCCAACTCCCCTGGTGGAGGATTTCAAAGAGATAATCCCCCTTCCATCAGTGGAGGTGCTCAACATTCCAATCCCCAGAAAGGACATCTCCAAATATAGTGGCCTCTTCTGGCAACTCCACGTATAAATAAATGCCTTCAAGAACAACCTCTTCTCACCATGGAGTGTTCCATCTCATCTACCAAATGAAGACAGGCATACCAGAAGGCCTCCTCCTAAATAATGGACTCTCATTTCCATTCTATAAAAGTAGAAGCACTCAGCCAGGTGTGGTGGCTCACGCCTGTAATCCCAGCACTTTGGGAGGCTGAGGCAGGCAGATCATCTGATGTCAGGAGTTCAAGACCAGCCTGACTACAATGGGGAAACCCAGTCTCTACCTCCTGAGCTCAAGTGATCCTCCTACCTCAGCCTCTCAAGTAGCTAGAATTAATAGGCATACACCACCACGCCTGGCTAATTTTTGTTTTTCAGTTCTGACGGAGACGAGGTTCTCACTTTGTTACCCAGGCTTACCCTGAACTGCCACCTGGAAAAATATGTCCTTCCAATTTGAACACCCTCCCAAAAGAGACCCTCGTGTTCTCCTGCCGTGTCCAGAGGAATGGCTGTTGTGATACATGCAGCCCTCTTACTAGAGCGAGCTCTCCCCATCTCCTCGCCCCCACAAGCAGGAATGAATTCTTCCATGCAAGCTCTTTCCTGAAGAGAATCGTACCTTCTCACCCATGGACACAGCCAAGCTGCCTCACCCAATTGGATCCTTCTGTGACCGTAAAAATGGAACTATCCCATAAGCTCCACCACCTTCTGGAGTGGCCTCTGCCATTGGTCCCAGCTGTACTTATTTAGCTTGGCTCTACCACTGTTAACCAAAGACTGGCCACAGCATAAGGGTAACCCCCGCCACGCTGCACATTAAATGAGTATTTTCAGCTGGGTGCAGTGGCGCATGCCTGTAATCCCAGCACTTGAGACACTGAGGCAGGCGGATCACCTGATGTCAGGAGTTCAAGACCAGCCTGGCCAACATGGGGAAACCCCATCTCTACTAAAAATACAAAATTAGCAGAGCATGGTGTCGCATGCCTGTAATCCCAGCTATTCTGGAGGCTGAGGCAGGAGAATCGCATGAACCTGGTAGATGGAGGTTGCGGTGAGCCGAGATCCCACCATTGCACTCCAGCCTGGGCAAAAGGAGCAAAACTCCGTCTCAAAAAAAAAAAAATTTTTTTTTTCAGTAACACATTACTCGCCCTCCCTGCTGGACTGCACTGGTGTGATCACAGCTTACTGCAGCCTAGACCTCCCTGGGCTCAGGGAATCCTCCTGCCTCAGCCCCTAGAGTAGCTGAGAGTACAGATGGGTGCCACTGTACCCATCTTTTTTTTTGTCCTTTTTTTTGTAGAGACGAGAGTTCACTGTTGCCCAGGCTGGTCCCAAACTTCTGGTCTCAAGTGATCCTCCTGCTTTGGCTTCCCAAAGTGTGCTGGGATTACAGGAATGAGCCACCATGCCCCAGACAACACATCACATTTGTATTGATGCAATTACTTCCCACTGATCCTCAACCACCAATCCTCTCTTCCTCTTTGGTACCAATCAAGTTCTATTGGTACCCAGATAGGTAAAATCGATAGATCAATACCACCTGCCTCCATCAACAGTGGTCAAATCGTTCCAAT